AATGATCCACACTAAATAGAAAGCATCCTAGATACCAGTACTAAAGGAACCACACTCAATGGAAAGCATCCTAAATACCAGTACTAAATGATCCACACTAAATTGAGGTTTTTCATGAAAAAATAAACAACCAGCTAACAACAGCCAAAATAAACCTTAAAAAAAAGATGCCAAATTAGATTTCAAGATTACACAAATAGCAAGAATATTAATAAACCATAAGTGTAAAAAATGACCCATTTGATATACCGTAAGGTTGTATATCGTGTTAAAACAAAAAAAAAAGTATTTTGTAGCAACTAAAAGATTGGAAACAGTAAACAAAATAAACTACTTAATTTTTAAAATGTACAAGATTTGTAACCCTAATTTACAGGTGACAGACAGGAAAAAGAAGTATTAAACTTTAAATGTAGTACAAGCATGACAGGCATCTTCCCAGGAGAACAAATAAATGTACAGCCATGTTTTTATATACATACACAATAGTCAATGGAATGATGGATGTGGCATTATTCTCATTCAAGCATTCCTTATATTAATAATACAGTGGATACCAACATGGTATGAAAGTAAAGAAAATATTTCATCCACACATATATACTTTAGTTGCTTCATGATGTTTACAAGCAATGAGAACAGTGCAAGTAGCATTTATTAAATTGCATCCACAGACAGATTGCAAGTGTTAAGTACTAGTTTACAGAATTTTTTTTTTTTTATGTCCAATTTCAGGGGTCAAATTCTAAAAAAAAAAAAAAGTAGAGGTACTCAGCTGGGTGAAGTTGACCCGATTTTGAAAAACAAAAAATAAATCTACATGTAAACATAACAAAAATGATAAAGCAGCTCAAATAAGTCTCAGTACTAGTACTGCCTTAAAACACAAGTTCTGGTACTCAGTACCGGTAAGTACCACCAGAATTTCACCCGTCCTACTTCTGTATGTCTGCTCATACTTACCAAACCTTTGATTCGGACAACTTTGGTCTGGAGAAAATCCTCGTTCTGGTCTTTCTTCACTTTCCTTCAATACCATAACACCCGTTACACGATCTGAATTCTTCAATAAAGTCATATTTCCCCTGTAATTAGTACAATTCATGTTTCAGCATAAGTTTCCTATAATATACGATGTTATTATGTGTTCAATTATATGGATTGTACAGCATTACTATGTGTTAGTACAGAATAATCACTACTGTTAGAGTTAACTTAGTTTTGTTAAACTAGTTGTTTTAGTGCTTGTTCAAGGAATCAGTACAAGCCAGGGATTAATTTATTGGTAAGATCAAGCCCAGTGTTAAGCCGTCCAAAGCTCAGTTATGTGTAATGTTAAGACAAATGAATCTCTACATGAGACTGGCAGCCAACACAACTTAGGTACGTAAGTTGTATATCAGATGGAGGCACACATGACAATGGCACAGGAATGGCTATCAATCCTGCTAAAGCCACAACCGTGTTTTACACACTCAATAACAGAAATGCTAATGAAGACAAACCATCATCATCATTAGTGGGTACTGCTTTGGGTAAAAAGAATGAAATACCTGTGTGTAACTTCACCAACCACATTAACACAATGATAACCAGAGCTACCAAAGACATCAATGCACTTATAGCTGGAAACAGAACAGAAGAATATCAGCTGCTCATGCTCTACCAAAGTCTTATCTGCTCCATCCTGGATTACACATTACTGATGACCACTATGAGTGCTACACAGCTAGATAATACTGAAAAGGAAACAAAAAACCTGTTTACCACTGGTAACAGGATGTAATTCAATCACCCTCATCAAAGCCTTCTTATGCCTGTTTAACACTGGTAACAGGATGTAATTCAATCACCCTCATCAAAGCCTTCTTATGCCTGTTTAACACTGGTAACAGGATGTAATTCAGTCACCCTCATCAAAGCCTTCTTACGCCTGTTTACCACTGGTAACAGAAAATATTTCAGTCACCCTCATCAAAGCCTTCTTATGCCTGTTTAACACTGGTAACAGGAAATAATTCAGTCACCCTCATCAAAGCCTTCTTATGCCTGTTTACCATGGTAACAGGATGTAATTCAGCCCACAATGGATATTACAGTCAATGACCCTTTCAACACAATATCTATAATGTCGTAAATGGAAATATGTGCCTTTTAGTTGCTAAAACAGACCCTTGGATGTCATCAGCACTCAGTTCATAGAATTCAGAAAGGATGTAAAGAGGACAACACTGACTTCGGAATATTGTGTAAAAACTTTTTTCAGTATAAGCTGCACTGCAGGATGAAAGTTCATAGACAAGGTCGTTACACAGAACATCGTAAGTGGAAAAAAAAGAAAGAGGGAAACATAAGGCCTATGCACTCATCTCTGTATAGTCATGATTAATTAAGAAAATAATAATAATATAACAATCATAAAATACCATTAATTATCTGACAAATCATTTTATAAAGTAAAACTGTTTCATTATGACTTGTTGCTTTGATTTTAACCATAAATTCATTTTTTTTTAAACCTCGCACCCTCTCAGCTACTTGCAAGACCCAGAACAGAACAACTAAGCAACAGTGAGCTAACACAAGAAAAACTGGTGCTTAGGTTTAATTTTCTAATACATGATTTAGTACAATTTTACTCATTCTATGAGGAAGCCTTTGAAATGCTCTACATTTTATATTTTGGGTTTAGTTATCTTTTAAAAAACTATAATATTACAAGACCTGTGTAAGTTTCCGAAATACAAATCACACTTGTCTGAATTTCTTATCAATGATTAAACTTGTATCCACATACAATTTTAATTTTTATTTCACAATCTGTAGCAACTTCAGAGGACTTTTCATTACTTGAAATTAATTATTATAAATGTACTGCATACATTTTAAATCCATATACACTTACATGTTGAAGAAAGACTCTATAATAGCGGCGATGTATGGGGGGTTTGTTCCCGTGTCGAGGATCTTCTGAAGATCTTCGGAGTTTTCTACTAACTGTATGACACCGACATTTCCACCAGAGGCAGCTAATTAGAAGCAAATTCAAATTAAATTTTGAACATACTGAAAAAATCATCATAAAAGTAAATGTAATTTTTTAAGACACTAATGTTGTTCTGTCCTAAAGTTTATTTATTACTACATTGAAAAAAAAAACTGTTTGTAGAAAAATAAAAGTTTGCATATTTCAAAATTTGGAAAAAAACAATATCTTACTAAATTTATTTTCTTAGATAAAAGAGTATTTTTAATTCTGTTTATATGGATAAGCAGATACAAGTATGCATATTAATCTATGTTCTCTTTAACCTGAAATTCTGTTTGAAAGGTTGTGTTTAAGTACAAGAATGAATATGCCATTTAACAAACGTCTGTCAGAGTTGAAAGTCCAAATACTGAAACGTCAGTGTTCATATTTTTAACTTTTGTTCTCATAACCAGTCATTAGTATGCATGAAGTTTTGCCTATGTAAATAAATAACAGGTGATGTAAATGTGTCAATCTCAAACTCGGGTAAAATTACTGTGTGTCAAATTGTAGTATAATAACAATCACCAAGCTTTTTTACATTTTTCTTTAAAGAAGGATGATGTTTCGAGCTAGTATTCTTCATCAGATTGTACAGCTTACAGCTTGACTGTAAACCGTACGATCTGACAAAGAGCGCTAGCTTGAAAGGCCATCCTTCTTTAAACAAAATGTAAAAACTTGGCGATTGTTCAACCTATTATTTAATTTCAATATCTTTGTTGCCTATTTGGTTTTAGCTATATATTTCAAGTTTTAGTATACTACACTATCAGATTTTACTTGCATCTTTGTAAAAAGAATTTATTTATTTTGTCATTTGTTGAATTTTCAATACCATCCACGACCAACTCGTGGGCTTCTGTAATCGAACAGTGGAATTTGCCCATCACTCTTATAACTCACCATGGCCCCAAAGTGTGGAGTCTCCCCCCTTTTGGTTATAAAGGATTACAAACTGCATAACGTCATATTTACATTCTAGCACGCTAACGACTGGGTTGCACTCAGCCCAGTATCAAATTTATTTTAAAAACTTTCAATTTGTGCAATAAATTCATGGGTGTTAAAGTTAGAATGACATAAATTCATGGGTGTTATAGTTAGAATGTCAAATTCATGGGTGTTAAAGTTAGAATGACATAAATTCATGAGTGTTAAAGTTAGAATGTCAAATTCATGGGTGTTATAGTTAGAATGACATAAATTCATGGGTGTTATAGTTAGAATAACATAAATTCATGGGTGTTAAAGTTAGAATGTCAAATTCATGGGTGTTAAAGTTAGAATGTCAAATTCATGGGTGTTATAGTTAGAATGACATAAATTCATGGGTGTTAAAGTTAGAATGTCAAATTCATGGGTGTTATAGTTAGAATGACATAAATTCATGGGTGTTAAAGTTAGAATGTCAAATTCATGGGTGTTAAAGTTAGAATGACAAATTCATGAGTGTTAAAGTTAGAATGATATAAATTCGTGGGTGTTAAAGTTAGAATGATATAAATTCATGAGTGTTAAAGTTAGAATGACATAAATTCATGGGTGTTACAGTTAGAATGATATAAATTCATGAGTGTTAAAGTTAGAATGACATAAATTCACGGGTGTTAAAGTTAGAATGATATACATTCATGGGTGTTAAAGTTAGAATGTCATAAATTCATGGGTGTTACAGTTAGAATGATATAAATTCATGAGTGTTAAAGTTAGAATGACATAAATTCACGGGTGTTAAAGTTAGAATGATATACATTCATGGGTGTTAAAGTTAGAATGTCTTTAATGTGGTAGCATGTAATACAGGGAAAGCATTAGCTCTGATTTTGTACATCACCTTTATGAGATATCTCCTAGTTTGAAGAGGACAAACTCTTTGAACATTGTGTCAAATGATTGAGCATCAGAACAAAATCATCTTCAGGGTCTTATGAACTTTCCTTTTATAATTTAAGATATTAATACATTTAAGTTTTCATTATAACAAAAACCTCACTTGTTTTTTTACGTGCAGTGTAGCATACTTTTCACAGCTAACTTTAAAGCAATGAATTTTAAAATCCTTGCTTAATAAGCAGTTAAAAACAATGAAATATATGACAAGATTTATGGTTCTTTCACATTTAGGTGCTTATGTTAGTTTAAGTGTTGTTGTTTATTTGTTGAATTTTGCTATCTGGCTAGCAGTCCCTAATCCAGAAGTGACAAAATAGAGTAAAGTCAACACCACCCATTGTCAACTCTTGAATTACTCTGTACAAACAAAAAGTGGGGTTAACTATTGCATTATAAAACCAGAATTCAAACCAGCGATCTGCAGATTGCAAGTCTAGTGATCTAACCACCAAGTCATGTTAGGCCCTTGGTATTATTGTCTGAATGATGAGTGTCAAACAAATAGTAAGGACAGATGAACACTGTGTATGAAAGATGTAGTGAAAAAGTCCCTACCTATGCCTAAAAACAAATCAACCTTTAACAGATTTCTGAATTTTTTATTTACTTAGTCATTAGTTGTAAAACCTACACTCATTATCAGATTGTAACAAGCATTGTGGTTCACAGAACAAAAAACAGAATGAATAGCTCAATTATTTGTGAAAGCTGAATCCCTCATAAAAACCAAGAGAATTCTTGTTACACTACTAGAACATTAAATACTGTCAATGCTGATATTTAAAATCAATTTAACTCTTCAAGGATTTAATTTTTCAATTAGTTTCCTTCATATCCTGCTTTGTTCTCCTCACTCCTATACTGAACATTGATGTATTAAAAAAGAATGATTAAAAACTTACAACCACACCCAAACTGGTGAGTGGCATTCATCCTCCGGAAACAAAACATATCCCCCTGAATGTTTTCATAAATCTTTAGCCTAGTTCGCACTGCTTCGGTTCCTACAAAGCATAAAAAAAAAATCTTAAAATTATATATATATATATTCTTCAATTTACAAACTAGGAAAAACATAAGATACTATGGCTTACACAGTTATTTTTGTTCATTTCTATGACTTATGCCAGACATTTCTGTCCAATTAGATTAAGTTCTCAAAAAATCCTAATATTACTATTGAACTGAATTTAGAAAAACTACGTTAAACGTACATTACTGACTGGTGCAAGTATAAAGTTTATAGATATTTCATATGAACTGTTTTACTTACCACTCAAAACATTCATGTTTTTAAAAATATTTGTTAATTACAAATGTTAGTATTTTTTCTCATTTTTGTACCTATTTTTTTTACACTTATAATTTATGCTAACTAATATTTTTTCAAATAAATAATTGGAACAATAACCCCGTTATTAAATGTATTAATAATGTGAAGTGTGTGGACGTTGGTTTATTTAACTAGTTAAAAAAAAGTTATAACATCATTAGAATGTGATGGATTAATGGAACTTTATACATGATGTTGAATGAAGACAGAAATTTAAAGGAAAGTAGCCACTGATGGCTGGTATAAAAGAACCCAAATTACTGTTGTGTAGGCCTAGCTGCTGAAAAATAACTGCGGTTTAGTGATTTTAGTTTGAATAAGAGCCAGAAGAACTGTAAAGTGTGATGTAGAACAGTACATATAAAGATCCTTTTGATGGTGTAATTAGCTTATGTTGCTCTATTGTGTGATTTCTGTAACTTTCTTATGTTGGCGAAGTTCAAGATGTTTTCCCGTATCTACCTTTAGACATTATTTTCCACCAATCAGAAACTGGACTCATGAGTAAACATTCTGACGTTTTCCTTTGGCCCCACATAATCTAGTAGCAAACTATATTTACAAAATATGAACTTTTTCTAATGGTTAAAAATTCCTAACTTGTGAAAAACTTAATTTTCAGCATATAAAGATTGGTCTGAAATATGAATTTAAACCCCTAAAACAACAACAGACAGAAGTGCATATTATTTTACTAAAGTTGATACAATATTTCCATGAATGGAAGTAAGCATGTAAATGAGAGTGGCCACTATCAACAAATAGTCCAATGGTAACAATGAGAGTGGCCACTATCAACAAATAGTTCAATGGTAACAATGAGAGTGGCCACTATCAACAAATAGTCCAATGGTAACAATGAGAGTGGCCACTATCAACAAATAGTCCAATGGTAACAATGAGAGTGGCCACTATCAACTTAGAAAAATATTAAACACTTAAAATGATTACACAAACCAAAGTGTCACATTTTTCAGTTTCAAGCATGTTTACAGTGTATGTTGCTACCAGTTATAAATGTTCTACAGAATTAAAACCCACCAAAACAACTATACACAAAAACATATGTCAAAATGATCTCTATAAAATAATGAGGTTAAGATCTAGCATGTGGAAACCAATAAAAAAAAAGGGACGTAAAAACAATTTTGAAAAATCATAAATCAAAATCTAGCCTTGAATCATCATTTGACAAAAGTCTCTATGTTTGCCTACTTATAACTGGCAAACTGTTGACTGATTGTCTCTAAATCTGGAATTTACCATTACAGCCCTTCCCAGGGAATTATATAGGGTGAGCAACATTTGGACCTGACCCACCTATATCATTCCCCAGGGGCCTTTATATCTTCTCCAAGCTTTGAACGAATACTTCAGCTACAAACACTCAAAAAAGACAGTTGATAAAAAACCAAACCCACACACACTGACTCTGTAATAAATATATGCATAAGATATAAAAAAAGGCAATGCATAATAAACTCAGCCAAAAGTTACTACAACCAAAAACAGAGCGAGTGAGAACACATTAAAAGTTTCATATTCAAATTCTCTAATGAACAATCATTAATAAAAAATACAGAAAAAAAACCTAAATATCTCGCATTTATCATGGGTAAAACAATGATATGATTCATTACTTTAATATTTTCTTTCCCAACCTCATCATTCCTCCACTCAAACTGACCATATAAGTTTTTAAGCATACACAAATAGTTCAACTTTTTAAATTACAATTTCCTAACAGCTGATCTAATTCTTAACAGAATGTATATTTTTCCTGTGATATTGCACACAAACTTATACATAGTATACTGAATAAAGTCTCTTTTTTTTTTTTGCATAAGACTACAATGTTATTTTTTAATCTTAATGTTCAAAATATATAAAAATTGCTCAATTAAGTATTTCAAAATATTTTTGTATGGGGGTTAGTCACTAAAACTATAATCATAATAAGAAAACAAAGGCCTAAAACACCACAGCATTAGACGTTACTCACAAGGCGTTTCATTAGTGACCTGAATATTATTACTATTGAAATTACTAATTACTATTAATATCAGTAATAGTAATACTTAGGCCAAAACTAAAAGCTGACTTAACTGATTAATAATACCACAATAATTAACAAAAACATGGCCGGAAAAGAAGCTATCCACATTATTAATAAATAATATTAATAGCAACATAGTTAATAAACTATAAAAATTAAAAGCTTCGTTACTTAACATCACTAACTTAGGTCTACTAATAGTAATAGTAGTAGTACCATTGATAATTATATTAATACTATTAGTATTAGTAGTACTATTAATATTACTAATTCAATGTGTACTAACCGAGTGAAAATTCGACCATGAACATCTGAACTTAAAGTAACACCTAATATATGGGCAAACAAATAAAACTTATAACTAATATAAACTTTAAATGTTTGAAAAATATTCATACCGATGAAAAACATTAAGGTAAAAGTATAAACTACTTTCAGAGCTGTCATCGTGCAAAATTTCTGGATGATTCACTTTGTTCACTTAAAAGGCCTAATACGCTTCAATACATGTATGCCTAAAAATTCTACTTGTCTTTTTCGATGATATCACCTGTAATTCATCAAAGGAGAATGATTCTGCTTGGGTCGATGGTGCTGCCATCTGCACGAAAAATAAAAGGAAGCCGGATGAGTCATGAGTACTTTTTTGTTTTCGATGACGAGGAACCCACTTTGAGACTAATAATGGCTGGAGACGGCTTAAATGGGTAATGAAGAAAAACTTTAATATAAGTT